GCCTAAGCATTGAAATGAGTATGATGGACATGGCAAATCCTTTCTTTGGAAACTTGTAACAGTGTGCAGCAAGAATGCAAGATTCGTGAGGCCAGAAAGAGAATGTCCTTATATCGTGCCTACAGAGTCCTTCTCCCTTTCATTCTGGCCCTATGAACTTTTCGTTCTTGCTGTGAAGTAGTCCACATTTAGAAGAAGGAATGAGAATTTCCCTGCCTGCTGCAGCCTACAGACTTGGTGGTTAAGGCATTGTCTCAGGAGGCAGGAGTTGAGAACTTTAACCCTCTTTGGATATGGTCCACTTTTAAACCGTTTTCTGGGCTAGTGCTCTAACAGTGAGGCTGCTATATAAAGTGGACAGCAGCTGTGTTTTAAAAAAAGAGAGAACTGGTCACTCCATACTGAAAAAGACAATCAAGTTCCTGAATATGAAGGATTTGAACTATGAGTCCCAGTCTCTCATAGGAGCCTAAAGGTAGATGCCTAAGTTTGAGAGGGAGGGAGGATTCCAGAATCACTGAATTTCCTTTTGGCTAAGATTTGCTTTGTCTCTCTTTGTTGCTCCTCAAGCAGCTCTGCCCACACCTGGAGTAGTAGGCCACCGCCATATGGCCATCCCTCCCTGTGGACACCCCTTCCTGCGGACACCCAGCTGGCGATCACCCTGCTCAAGCTGCCCATGCCCGCCAGCCTGTGCTACATCAGCCAACTCTTCAGCATGGGCAAGGTGACTGTCAGGGAGGCCGTCCTGGAGGTCTGCTGTGCCCTGGGTGCATGACCTGCTAGAGGTAGTGATGGGGTTCTGCACTCTAGGCTTCCCCCAGTATATTGGAGCCCTGAAGAGGACCCACATCCCCATCACCTACCCAACCTGTGGCAACCACCCCTATTATAGCCTTTTACTACACCAGGCTGCAGGCTGTCAACAACCACCGTGGCCCTTCCCCAATGTGAGCACTGGCTAATCAATGTTCATGATGGCCAAGTCTTCTGCAACTGTACCCTGCCAGCCCTGGTGGATGTTGGCTCTGGATTTAGGACCCAGAGGCCTTGTTCTGGGGGGGACCCACCCTCAGACCAACCACAACCTTTCCATTCAATAATAGACAAATTTATTGATACACAGTGATAACAGGAAAAAATACAAACAATCAAGCAATTCTATATATTTACCAACTCCTAGGGCTGTCGTCAGAGTCAAAGTACATCTGGCCAGGATGCAGTCTTTACTCTGAGGCTCTTTCTCTTAGGTGTCAAATGTCAGCAGTCTGGAGGTGGAGCTCTGAGGCCCCCCTTCCCCCTCAGTGTGATGGATGAGATGGGTTGGTTGTATGTCCTCTGTCCATGGTTGCCTTGAGGATCCTTCCTGGGGGACAGGGATGGGAAGGGACCCAGGCAGAGGACAATGAAGAATGATAGGGAGGGATGCTTTGTTCCTCTTAAGTCTCTGCTTTTGTATTCCCCTTCCCTCCTGATGATTCTTGATCCATGGCTATCGCTGGTTGGTTGTCTCTCTGTGGTCACACTCGTAGCCTTCCAGGCCTTCTCCTAATTTGGTCAGTTCCCCCAAAACCGGGACTCAGGGGCCCCCCTGCTTTGGGGCCTTGTTGCTAGTGCCACTTTGTCTTGTGTTTTGGGCAGTATAGTACATACTCCCTCGGTTCCCATGCTGTTTTTCCAAACTATGCATTGTTCTTGGCATTGTTGTGTTACACAGCATATCTGCCTTGAGATCACAGCCTTCATGCGACTGAGAGACCCAAGCATCTTATAAATCAATGAACCCCTGCAACACATCTTAAAACCTTTAAAGAGATGTATCTATTGCTATGAGCCAATTCCCCCCAAAAACAAATCTTTAAATATGATTTCTAAGCCAACAGTGGAGAGTGTGCACTTTACACCAAGGTTGCCGGACCTCCAAGTGGATGAGGTGGCAGTCCCACCCCACTTCATTGGGAACACCTCCTACCCACTCCTCCCCTGGCTCATGTGGTTCTACTGGACCTCCACCAGGCACACTTCAGTAGGTGCCTGGGCCAGACCTGTGTATTGGTGGAATGCGCCTCACAGATGTTATGCAGCAAGGACTTCTTAAGTTCCTCACTCGGAATTATATCATACTGTACAAATGACACATACATTATCCAAGTGAAAAGTAAACAGAAAAAGTAAGCATCCTGTAGCCTGATGAAAGTATTTAAACATCAACACAAGTATCAAGGAAAGCTTGGTAGTGATTTTAGAAATTAAATTTTTGGCAATGTTTACAATAAGTTAACATACAAAAGTACTTGAATGATTAACTGACTAAGAGAAATGAAATTTTTTTTATATTGTTTTTTTCAAAGTTCAGGTGCCCAAGTTATAGCTTACCAGAAAGTGTAATAATTAGCAGGATGCAACAGGAGCACAGCAGCTATATTTAATCAGAAGGTGGCTCACCATAATAAATACATATAAAAAAAGAAAAATTAGAACAGATTGCAAACTGATGTTAATTGGTGCAACTATTGATATCAGTGGGTGTAATATTGCTTTGCCCAGTGGAAGGAGATTCTAGAAAGCTGAAGGCAAGATGAAGGACATGAAAATAATCAGATGTGTAACCTGTAGAAGTTCCACAGAGAAAACAAGAAGGTAATCCATATGATTTCCAAGATCTAATATTTGCGCAAGAAAAGCATAGTTATATCATTATATACACAAGTATTGATAATTTTCAAAATGTCCAAGAGATGATAGTAGCACCTCTTAACAGTAGCATTCCTGGATTCATGAGTGGGTTGGGCAAGGTGCCCCTGGAGGCCTCTTCCAACCCTATGATACCATGAGTATAGGCCTCTATCCTGTAGAACAAAGACCACTGAAGCCAGAGTGGGATATGAGAACTGGATGCTTAGGACTAGACCTGTAGGATCCTGTTCCTGGCATTATTCATCCAGTTATATATAACTTTAAGTGCTTTTACACTAAAAGGCAGACAAGGTTCCTTGGGTGAATTTGATATCTTTTATTAGACCAAACAAATAGTTGGAGAATAGTTATTAAGCAAGCTTTCGGGTTCAAAAACCCTTCGTCAGGCTAAGGAAGTTTCAGCAGTTGGTGTGTGCTCTTCCTGGATGGAATGAAAATGCATTTGCAGCAATACTGATGTCACTTGCAGCACCTGGTGCATTAAAGAAACTCACTTGGGCCCCTTCAAGGTGTGCATCAGTAACATGATATAATAAGTGCACATAAAGTTTTCTGTAAGCATTCTTTACATGTGATTAAAATGTAGACCTATGTGGATCTCTCAGAAATATTACATATCTAGTCATTTTCTTGCCTGAATCTTCTCAAGAATCTTGAGATTTGTTTTGCATGTGATCATGACTTTGCTTCATGGGGAAGTGAAGTAATAAGTTTATCACTTTGGAGAATATCTTCTGAAAATCAGTAAATGTGGTGCACTCCTGATTCTTCTTTTTCATGTACTCAAGCATTGTTTACTTTGACACTATGAGTTTCATAAGCAAATCAAAGTTGTCCTTATGATTTGCATGCTTTCATATGTCTATAAAATGCTGTTTAAAAAAACCCAAACTATTATGGCTAGGGATTTGACACCTCTAGGAGTTAGACACTCAAGTCACCTTGACTTTCAGTGAGGATTGATCTCCTATTTCCTTCCAGTCAGCTCTGTAAATCTTAGCCCATCCTGAACAGTTTTTTTGAAGATAACTAACACAGAGCTTTTTGTGCTATTCTACAGCAGATAAATTCTAGAAATGAAAGTTCAGCAGCTGGGGGAGTTGTGGACACATAGTGTAGCGATGGACGCACTGATGTACAGTGGGTCTCTAGCACCCAGGGGCCAATGCTTGCAATTGCGCCTTCCCTCCTCCCTCACAGCCCTCCTCTGTCTGCCTGCCACTGGATGGGGGAAGTACACAGGGGTACAGTACAGCAGTGGTTGGGAGTATCCGTGGGATGTTCAGCCCAGGGACACACGGCTTGCCCTGGTGCAGCTGGTGGGGTGTATGGCCTCTGGTATTGCAGCCCCAGCCACTTGGAAGATGGACAGCCCCAGGCTGCTTGGCAGCCTTTAGTAACCTCCACTTCAAAGGCTAGCATATCTCACTATATAGCCTAATTTGTAGAGATTCTTCTGTTGTGATAAATACCATTATAAAATGACCAGGTAACATACTGGAATTTAAATGTTTAAGATTCTTAACATGAATGATATAATAAAGGAAATACTATTCAGTTTTTCTATTTTGTGAAATACAAAGGAGAGTGTCTATCTTCCTTTAGTTTTCTTTTAAAATGGGCACAATTTTACAATGAAAGGCAACACATATGATAATGATAGACAGATCTTCAAATACAGGGCAATAGTATCACTGGAAAGTCTTGTTGAAGAAAATCAGAATGCATCTTAAAATTATTGGGATTTTTTTTTTTACTTTTAATGCTCATTGAACATTTTTTTTTTCAATCTTTAAGTACTTAATTTTCCATTATGATTTTTGATATGCTAATAGTCATCAGGTACACCTAAATAAAATCAAATAAACCAGATTAAAATAAAAGGAATGAATGAATGAAGGCTACTGTATACTATACACAAATTGAACACAGAATCAAAGCAATAATAAATTCTGTTGAAACCTATTTGTTATTTTGACTACAGGAATG